GTAAAACTCCCAAAAAGTTTTGTGAAGCCGCCATTTTATTATCCTCGCATTAGCATTATTAGCATTAGCCCAGCGCAGAAACGCAGAGAGACTAATTTATGGCAACACAAAATAAAACATGGGAGCGGTGGAGATGAGGAGGTGTCGGCGTTCTGGCGATTTACTCGGAAGGCTTCAGTAGAAGCTGCTGGGACTCCCAGCAGCTTCTACTGAAGCCAGTCCCCAACTCCGGGGACTTCCGGCCGGGGACTCCGAGTGGCAGTATACGCCGTGAAGTGGTTTGCGGCCTGCCAGTAAACCCAAAGCAGAAGAAGAACAAGTGACGTCAGCAGCTTCATTTGCCTAATCCTCCCTCAGGGATTTATTCCAGTGTGAACGCGATCTGTATTTAGTTCATGCGAACTAAAGAGTTCACATGAACTAAGTTCACATGAACCTTTGTGGGAAAAGTACTGCAGTGTGAATGCGCCTAATGGTATACTAAAATCCATGTGAAAAAAATTGCTTCTCACTGTTCTTAGGTCAAATATTTATATGCGATTAAAAATGCGATTAATTTCGATTAATTAATTACAAAGCCTCTAATTAATTAGATTAATTTTTTTAATCGAGTCCCGGCCCTAATTTTATTATATCATAACTTAGTACTTTTATCTTATCATAGGTAACATTCAGCTGTCTGTGGCTCTTTCCTGCTATCACGATGCAAATGTCCCCTCTGTGGGACTAATAAAGGTATTCTGATTATGACTAGTCATAATACACACTATAATGTAATACCAATAAAGCATCTGTATGCATTGCTCAATCAGGCTTAGAGGTTTTTGGCCAAGAATACTAGTCTATCCACTAATGCAGGCTTGAGACAAGAACGTTGGCAAGTGACGATGTTGCCACTTGCACTGAAAAGCCTCTCTGAGGGGGCACTTGTAGCAGGTATGCATAGGTACTTGCGGGCAAGCTTGGCGAGTTGTGGAAAGATTACTTTGTGCGTTTTCCACCATGCAAGTGGATCTTCCTCTTTGTCTATTGAAGGTGTTAGCAGGTAGCTGTTTAACTCTGCTTCAACAGCATCCTTTAGGTCAGGGGTGGGGAACCTTTTTCCTCTCAAGGGCCATTTCAATTTTTCCAACATCCTCCGAGGGCCGCACAAATTATTGACCTCTGCTTAAAAAACTAAAATCACAGCCCATTCATTTCGCCTTTCTTTCATGCTGTGCAAAGAAAAAGCAACCTCTTAATCCAGATATCTTACCATGACTCACGCATGCACGTGCATGGTTGTGGAATGACCACCAAAACAGAAAGATATGGACACAAGATGTGTGCAAATGTATTTAGTTTCATATCCATGTGGAAATGATTTAAGTGGTGGTGGACCTAACCTCCTCTAGGGGGTTCCGGAAGGTTTTTTTTTTTAAATGTTGAAGTTAAAAGCATCAATCTGGTGCACTTTTAGAGCAACATTAAGAGATCTATGGATACATCTCTCAACAGGCCAGATGAAACAGAACTGCAAGCAGATTTCTTTTTCTTTATGGATATTTTATAAATCACTCCCCTTTTAAACTGTATTATTTTTATTTTTTATTTTACTGTCATATAGCATTTTATATAGTAGTTTACTTTATTCTCTTATTTTTTTATAACTATAATGATCATATAAAGATGTGCCTTTACCTCACTGGTTGGAGAAAAAGCTTCTTATATTCGTTAGCATAGCTAGCTAACCAGATGCTAATAACAACAAAGTTATTGACTGTATGATCAGTATGACAGATGAGCAGATCGCCACTGGGATTTCAACTACGCAAAAACTGCAGCATGTGTACGGCTCCTTATGGGTTCTGCAATTTTTGAAGTACTGGAGCCGCATTCTGGTGCTCTCCGTCAGAACTACACCCCTGTCAGACGAGACATATACCACGTGATGACACGTTAGGCTCGTGTTGTGTTCAAGGACCCTGACCTTGGCCAGGAAAAACAGGCACTCGCTTGTTTAATTCTTTTGCGGTCTAGATTTCTTAATTTTTTTTCTTTTTTGCGTGTGTTTATAAATTACCTCGCGGGCCGTATACGGCCCGGGGGCCGGAGGTTCCCCACCCCTGCTTTAGGGACTGAGACGAATCAGTCTTTGCTGCCGGTTCGCTCTGTTTAAAGAAACTTCCTAAAGTCCTCTTGCCTTTCTTTGCCTGGGACGTGCCAGCCACTTCAGTGCTGCAGCTTGCAGCTGCAGTCTCCTGGCATGTCATGATTGTCGTCATCATCTCCGATGTCACTCTGGCCTTGACTTGGGGCTTGCTGTCTGCAGTGATGAAGTCCATCTTGAACCGGGGGGCCAAACAAGATGCCATATCTAGCAGCTTCTGAGTATCTTCATCTTCATATTTCTCATTCAGGTAATCCCTCATCTCTTTCTTCAACTTCTTGCTCAGGTCTGTGTCTTCTTCTCGCATTAGCAGCATTGACGAGTTGAAGAGATGAAGAACTGGCTTCACATAGGAGACACTAACGTAGTCTTCCCCTGAAAGTGCGTCGGTGAACTCCAGCAATGGGCCAGGGACTTGCTGACAGATTCCAGGACATCTATATCTTGCCAGTTTGGAATTAGATGCTGCAGCTTCTTGTCCACAGACAGGACCTGACTTAAAGCTTTCTGCTGCTCCAGTATCCTGCTGATCATCATCTGCCTGGAACCCCATCTTGTTTGGCATTCTGTTATGAGGGAATGTGATGGCAGATTGAGTTCCTTCTTGGGCTTTTTCAAGAGCACTTCTGGCCTTCCAGCTGTGAGAGAAGTGACCCACCAGCTTCTTGCACACACCCGCAGTACGGTTGATGCAGCCATCCTTTTTCACTGCATTTTCTAAGGGGGAATAAATAAATAAAAAGTAAAGATTAAATATTATACACATATATATTAACTATACATTTACAAGTGTGTGTGTGTGTGTGAGTGTGTGAGTGTGTGTGTGTGTGTGTGTGTGTGTGTGTGTGTGTGTGTGTGTGTGTGTGTGTGTGTGTGTGTGTGTGTGTGTGTGTGTGTGTGTGTGTGTGTGTGTGTGTGTGTGTGTGTGTGTGTGTGTGTGTGTGTGTGTGTGTGTGTGTGTGTGTGTGTGTGTGTGTGTGTGTGTGTGTGTGTGTGTGTGTGTGTGTCCTCCAGTTTGAAATTAGCTGCCTTCAACAATGAATTATAAATATTATATATATATATATATATATATATTGCTTGTAAAACGTAACATTTATGAAACTCATTAAAATTAAGAAAACTGTTGCATTTCAGGACAGGTTGTTAAGCACTCCTGGAAAATATAGCATTACTCTCTCTGTTACACTTCCCTGAATAAAGGTTATTAAAAAAAACACACACACTCGACACAGACACAGCTTAGTAAATAAAGCGTGGGCGGGGTAACTTACCAACTGCAAGATGAAGTCTGTGGCCAAAGCACTGCAGCCTGGTCCACTCGTTCAGGGAGGCAGCCTTCACCATATTTGCAGCATTGTCTGTTGTTATACAGACTTGACGTGTCTCATCCAGGCCCCAAGCAGCCACCGCTTCTCTCAGCCCCGCTGCGATGTTCTCACTTGTGTGATTTTCTGGGAAAAATGCCCTTTGCAAACAGCGACTTTTCAGTGTGAAGTCCTCATCAATAAAGTGCACCGTCAGGCTTATGTACGGCTCCGTTGTCCGGCTGGACCACAAGTCCGTTGTAACAGCATAGTATTCCACTTTAGACAGCTCTGTTTCAACGTTTGCCCTGCATTTCTCGTACAGGTCGGGGATGGCGACTTGAGAAAAATAGGTGCGTGACGGTATTACGTACCGCTTATCAAGTGAGTGGATCATTTTCTTAAAACCCTCTTTGGTAACAGTGTAAATTGGTACCATGTCTTTTGCCAGGTGAAATGTTATGGCATCTGTGATGTCTTTATGCCGTTTTGAACCTTTCTCATATGGTGTAACACCGGCAAAGGCATCTGAAATAGTGTTTTGCTTTGGCTGTGGATGGCAACCAGATCTGACTCTGCACTCGTCATGCAGAGATTTGTGGTGTCTATTCAAATGGTGGAGTAAATTCGACGTGTTGCCTCGGCTTGCCGAAACAATTGCATGGCACTGTCTACAAAGTACCTTTGTCATCAAGCTTTTTGTATCCAAAATAGTTCCAGATGGCAGATGTTGCTTTTCTTCTTGGAAGTAAATCTTCATTAGCTAACTTTTGTGCTCCGATTATTACATAAAAATGGAATTATGGATTATAAACAATTGCTTCAAAGCCACAGATACATTATCAACCTATGCATCAACCGATTCAGCCGCGTTTTTTCTTTCTCGTTTTAATGCCATTGAACACGTCTTTTGATCAGATTGACAGCTACGGTGAGACGATCTCCCTTAAAAGCTCCGTAAAAGGTACGTGTTGTGATGTCTGTTTGCTTCCCCTGTTGCGAGATCGGATCGCTTAGATACTATACTTAAATAATCGGTGGAGTCTCAGCTTTAATCGGATATATTGTATGTGCAGTTTCAATAAGTAATAAGGGTATCTTTATTTTGAATTCTGTGCTAAAGTGCGTTAGCATTTAAAAAAAAAAAATGAATAAAACCGCACGTCCCAGCGGTGTGAATACCGCGCATGTGCATACCGCGGTTATCGCCATGACACGGTATATCGTTCAGCCCTAGTACAGCGCCTTGAATGCAGGTGGCATATTAGAAAATATGCGCTCCCTCTCTGGCCAACTAACAACATGCTTCAGTTTCACAAAGGCTACATCCATCCACTTCCAAAAATGATCTATGAGCGTGCTCTAAGGGATGCCTACCTGGTCTGCCAAATACTCAAACTTCATGCCATGTTTCAACTTAACTATCATATTAAAAAACTGATCAATGTAGGGGATGGATGGGGTACCTTTGCATGTCATCGAAACTAGCAAGAATTTAAAAGTGGATAGAAAAATGGGCCAAGTTAGTCCCGTGTAATACTCACACTTCTCATTGTTGTCAGTAACAGTGTTCGAAGACAGCCGGATAGAGTTGAGGGTGGCCCTAGCATGGTCCCTCTCAGCAAGAGCAGCATCTCTTTCCGCCCTGAGTGCAGAGATCTCATCAAAGAGCATCTGTTGAGACACGGAAGGTGGAGACACTGAACTGGTCGACGGTTGAGGCGAATCAGGAGTAGGTTGATGCTGTGGAGGTTCGAAGGCCACTCTGCACTTCTTTGTTGAGGGCCCATTTTCTTTGCCAAGCATCTTCTTGCCATGACGAGACATAGCATTGGAGAACCTAATACACACAAACATTACATATACCAGGGGTTAGGGCTAGGGATGTAACGATATACCGAATATCGCGGTAAATAAACGTCCCAATACCGTCGTGAGACTGACAAAATCAACGGTTTTTTATTTTTATTTTTTTAAAACACTTGTTTTTGTTTTAAACCTTTATTTAACCAGGTGGTCCCATTGAGATCATCGATCTCTTTTTCAAGAGAGACCTGTCCAACATGGCAGCAAGTAGGTTACAACATGAACATAAAACAACAGAACACAAAAGGACATCGTATTTACAGTGCTACATGTTCATACCAAGAGACATTGACAAGTACCAACAGTATATTTATATCTCTGTCAATAAGCCTCACCTTCTTGGCAACAACTGTATTGTTTTTGAAGTGGTGGAGAGACAATGCACAGTTTGACCCACTGCTGTCATGCCGTGTGTGCATGCACCTCGCGGGAGCATGCACAGCCTAAAGCAAAACCTCCCAGACATGTATTGATCTGTACGGCAAAGTACGGTTTGGAAACTATATCATTTCCTTTTGGAGGGCATGCATAACACGGCATAACACCAGAGCCTCGCTGCGGGGAAACGTTGGCGCTAGTTTGTTCTAATCTGTCAAAATGACAGACTGCTTTCAGATTTTTCCGTCATTGTTAAATAAAATATTCGGTTAACGCGACCACTGCTGTCCCAGCAACATCAGTACCAAGCGAGAGAGTTGTTTCCAGAGCAGGGGATATTGTAAATGCCCAAAAATCCCAGCTTATAAATACCTGGAAATGTGGACATTCTCATATTCCTAAAAACCTGTCTGATGATGCTGAGTGAGTGACTAGTGAGTTTGAGTTGAGTTACTTGAAAAACTAAAGTGAAACTTGATTTATTTTATTGCAGGGTCTGATTATTAAATGTCCTTGTTTATTTGTGAGATGCAGTGGCACAAAGAAAATGCCTACTTTGTTTGGTAGTACTATAAAAGGTACAAAAACACTGGTTTTCTTGTTCCAGTCTGTTACTGTCACTTTGTTTTTGATATTCAATATCGCGATATTATCGAACCGTGAGTTTTTGGTATCGTTACATCCATAGTTCGGGCTGTGCGATTATGGCAAAAATCATAATCACGATTATTTGGGTCAATAATTGATATCACGATTATTAAATACGATTATACATTGACTTTGAAAAAATCCATTTATTGAACTTTAAAACAAAAACAAATAATAATTTGAACAGTATCTTTTTAACTGTTGTTTACCCTGAACGTATAATTCAACTGAAAAACCAATACAAACATAAATTAAATAAATGATACATTTATATTTATTAATGCTGTCAAAATTATCGCGTTAACGGCGGTAATTAATCTTTTTAATTAATTGCGTTAAAATATTTAACGCATTTAACGCATGTGCAGAATGGCCCGCCCCATACATCCCATCAGTGGCAGCGCCAGGGGTATGGCTGGGGTAGGCTACAGCCATACCAAGAAATGGCTTAGCCCCACCATGAAAAATGATGTTAAAGTAAGCAAAATAAAGTCCGACAACTCGCGGAGTAAATTGCACAGACAGCAGTTAGTCAGATTGATTTCAGCCACTTGTCTGGAAATACCGAAGACCAGAAACGGTTTTGAAAACTTTTCTCAATAGAACATCTTTGATAATGTCTTCTGGCCAATCAGAATCAAGATAACGGCGTGGTGTTGTTGCAGGAAGTCCCGACGGAGAATACTTTTGCTGTAGTAGGTGCACATAACTGGTACGCAGGTACGCATGCGTGGCAACAATCTGAAATGCTTACCGTCACTTGTGTCACAAAGCGCATTTGCGTACCGACGTACTTGTGAAGCTTTTCCAGAAGGCGGTTAGATCACCGGACGACAGAGTCGGTCTCCGTGTGCACAGACAGGGCTGCTGTTAACGTCGGTCTGTACAACGGAATTGTGCCAAAACTACGCCAACCGGCTGCGGAGGGAGACTCCCCCCCTTCACTGGAGAACTGCGCTAAAACAGCTGATCACAACGTTCACACTCTGTGGTCACGAAGTACTCCACTAGCCCCCCCCGTCGACTTTCCTGAAGTACTCCCCCGTTGATAGAAATCAACACGTAATGAAATAAGACCCCACGGTTTGATGATTGATAGGTGTGTGGGCTGTCTTTCATTTTGACACACAGAAAAATGTTATAATAAACATACATACTATATGTGAAATGGATATATCCGCCTTCTTTCATTTATCTTTCCATTCCCACAACAATATACATAAAGAAATGGCATATTTTGGACATAGTTCGAATGGTGATTAATCTGATTAATTCATTTTTAAACTGTGATTAATCTGATTAAAAATTGTAATCGTTTGACAGCCCTAGTTTATATATATCATTTATATTAAAATACGATTAATTGCACAGCCCTACCAGGGGTGATAACTAACACCTACCCACAGCTGGTATGTTATTGTAAAATTGTACTTCACATCTATCACAACAGTATTACAGTGTTCGATTTAGGCCAGGCATATCATCAGTATATACATGAATTTTCGCAAACCTTCTCAGTTTCTGGCACTTGTCAGCTGTTGGAAGTTTCCCAAGCGTAGCAAATTTGGTCGGGATGTAATCTGGATGGCCGGGCTCCTTGGAAGGCTGCCCTGAAAAACAGATAAGAGAACTTGGAGTCATGCATATCATCCTCTAGTCTAAAGTAAGATAAGTGTCATCAGGGAGGTGATATATACAGATATATCACCTCCCTGATGTCATCAATGAGGTGGTACACATTCCCTGATCCTAGTATCCCGACAGCTAACTCAAGTATTATAATTGATTGATTGATACATTTATTTCGAACAAGTAAAATAAATAATTTACAAAACAGAACAAATGTTGTAGTGCATAGTCATGCAAGAGAAATTAAAACAAAACAAAAAATTACATTTACAACAACAGCATTTGCAACATAAACAGTGCCATGTCTAGTGTTCGAAAAGGAGTGAGAAGAAGTATAACTTATTTAATCTCACCCCCTTGTCCCTAAATGATTTATTTATAATCTATGATCTGCAATAATTATCATTATTATTCATTATTCTTGTCATTATCATTATTTATCTGCTTTACCTGTTGATTGATATACACTGACATATATATATATATATATATATATATATTAGAGCCGGGACTTTAACGCGTTAATTAAGATTAATTAATTACACAAAAATTAACGCGTTAAAAAAATTAACGCATTTTAATCGCACTTATTTTTGCACCGCGGAACGTTTCTCACTGGATGAGTTTCAGGCGTACCGATTATACTGGAGCACCAACTAACGTTCATGACTTCAGACAACAACAAACCGCAGTGAACAACAGTGGGAAATGTTGTTTTAAAAAACGGACGGATGGAAGCGTCGATAAGAGCACGGTTGTGTGCAAATTATGCAAAAAGGAATTCGCATATCACCGCAGCACATCAAGCCTCAAGTATCACCTCAATGCAAAACATATAGCAGCTAGCGTGGAAGCTAGCGTGGACGTTAGCCTCTTTTATCGCGTTCACACCAAAAAGAGCCTGGTACTAAAATTAGTTCATGAGAACCTTTTTACCCCCACGAAAGTCCCTGCTAGAGAGCAGAGAGCTGCTAGAGAGCAGGGACTTTCGTGCGGCTCTCTTGTGAGAAAAGAGCTATATTTCTGATTGACTGGGCGGATTGCAAACCACGCCCCGTAAAACTCCCAAAAAGTTTTGTGAAGCCGCCATTTTATTATCCTAGCATTAGCATTATTAGCATTAGCCCAGCGCAGAAACGCAGAGAGACTAACTTATGGCAACACAAAATAAAACATGGGAGCGGTGGAGATGAGGAGGTGTCGGCGTTCTGGCGATTTACTCGGAAGGCTTCAGTAGAAGCTGCTGGGACTCCCAGCAGCTTCTACTGAAGCCAGTCCCTAACTCCGGGGACTTCCGGCCGGGGACTTTGGGCGGCAGTATACGCCGTGAAGTGGTTTGCAGCCTGCCAGTAAACCCAAAGCAGAAGAAGAAGAAGTGACGTCAGCGGCTTCATTTGCCTAATCCTCCCCCAGGTTCAAAGAGTTCTCATGAACTAAGTTCTCATGAACCTTTGTGGGAAAAGTACTGCGGTGTGAATGCGCCTAATGGTATACTAAAATCCATGTGAACAAAATTGCTTCTCACTGTTCTTAGGTCAAATATTTATATGTGATTAAAAATGCGATTAATTTCGATTAATTAATTACAAAACCTCTAATTAATTAGATTAATTGTTTTAATCGAGTCCCGGCCCTAATATATATATATATATATATATATATATATATATATATTAGAGATGTCGGATCGGCCCCCGATACTGGGTTTTAAGGTGGATCGGGATCGGCAGATCCAATTAAATGTCATGGCCGATCCATAGTTAATATTTCCCATGATTCCATTGTTACGTTGTTTGTCGTTGTTGTTCAATTGCATCAGCCGCCATTATCGAGTTGGGAAAGTGGAACGGACACATATCGTTAGCTAGTTAAAATGTCTGCAGTTTGGCATCATTTTAAAATAACTACAAGTGAGTTGCCGACTGCGACATGCAAAGTCTGTGGTGTGGAAGTCTCACGAGGTGGTGCTAACAGGGTCTCCTACAACACCACAAACCTAATAAAACATCTTAAAAAGCACCACCCCGACGAACACGTCGCCTACTGTAAATCGACAGAGTCTGCGACTGATGGACTCCATCAACAAACACTGCGGGACAGCTTGAAACGAAAGGCTTTACTCCCTCGAGACTCTGAGAGATTTCGCAAGATTACTGAGCTGATTGTGGAGTGCATAGCAGGGGACGACCAGCCAATTTCACTTGTGGAAAACTCCAGTTGTTTTTGTCGTCTAATAAATTATTTGGGTCTATTTCTTAATGTATACGAAATTAAATGCTGTTTGCCAACACAAAAAGTGATATCGGAAATCGGTATCGGGAAATATCGGGATCGGATCGGAACCTATATGAAAATATCGGAATCGGATCGGAAGCTAAAAAATGAGAACGGGAAATCCTTAATATATATATATATATATATACACAGTGGGGCAAAAAAGTATTTAGTCAGCCACCAATTGTGCAAGTTATCCCACTTAAAAAGATGAGAGGCCTGTAATTTTCATCCTAGATTTACCTCAACTATGAGAGACAGAATGAGAAAAAAAAAATCCATAAAATCACATTGTCTGATTTTTAAAGAATTTATTTGCAAATGATGGTGGAAAATAAGTATTTGGTCAATAACAGAAGTTCATCTCAATACTTTGTTATATACCCTTTGTTGGCAATGACAGAGGTCAAACGTTTTCTGTAAGTCTTCACAAGGTGTTCACACACTGTTGCTGGTATTTTGGCCCATTCCTCCATGCAGATCTCCTCTAGAGCAGTGATGTTTTGGGGCTGTCGCTGGGCAACACAGACTTTCAACTCCCTCCAAAGATTTTCTATGGGGTTGAGATCTGGAGACTGGCTAGGCCACTCCAGGACCTTGAAATGCTTCTTACGAAGCCATTCCTTTGTTGCCCGGGCGGTGTGTTTGGGATCATTGTCATGCTGAAACACCCAGCCACGTTTCATCTTCAATGCCCTTGCTGATGGGAGGAGGTTGTCACTCAAAATCTCACGATACATGGCCCCATTCATTCTTTCCTTTACACGGATCAGTCGTCCTGGTCCCTTTGCAGAAAAACAGCCCCAAAGCATGATGTTTCCACCCCCATGTTTCACAGTAGGTGTTCTTTGGATGCAACTCAGCATTCTTTCTCCTCCAAACACGTCTAGTTGAGTTTTTACCAAAAAGTTCTATTTTGGTTTCATCTGACCATAAGACATTCTCCCAATCCTCTTCTGGATCATCTAAATGCTCTCTATAAAACTTCAGACGGGCCTGGACATGTACTGGCTTAAGCAGGGGGACACGTCTGGCACTGCAGGATTTGAGTCCCTGGCAGCGTAGTGTGTTACTGATGGTAGCCTTTGTTACTTTGGTCCCAGCTCTCTGCAGGTCATTGACTCGGTCCCCCCGTGTGGTCCTGGGATTTTTGCTCACCGTTCTTGTGATCATTTTGACCCCACAGGGTGAGATCTTGCGTGGAGCCCCAGATCGAGGGAGATTATCAGTGGTCTTGTATGTCTTCCATTTTCTAATAATTGCTCCCACAGTTGATTTCTTCACACCAAGCTGCTTACCTATTGCAGATTCAGTCTTCCCAGCCTGGTGCAGGTCTACAATTTTGTTTCTGGTGTCCTTTGACAGCTCTTTGGTCTTGGCCATAGTGGAGTTTGGAGTGTGACTGTTTGAGGTTGTGGACAGTAGGGCTGTACCCGAATATTCGACTATTCGAATATTCGTTCGTTGGCCAACTATTCGGGTTTCAATTTCATTATTCGGATATTCGTTTTTTTATTTTTTTTCAAATTTTTTTTTTTTTTCTTCTAAATCTATGCTATCATAAAGGCGAATTGCCATATTCTTATACTATATTTATACTTTTGAATTGCACTGTTAAAATGCGGAAATATATACAATCTCAGCCTGTGCTCCTGACATCGCGTTCACAGTCCAAACGCAAACGGCACGCTTCACCTCGCTTCACCTCGTTTCACACACCTGAACACAAAATGCCGAAGACTTCAGCTGTGTGGGACCATTTTAAATTGGACGACGGTAAGAAGAAGGCAGTGTGCCAAATATGCGACAATAACCTGGCCTACCACGCTGGCACAACAACTCTGAAAAGTCACTGGATGCTGTAAGTACTAGCCTAGCTTAGCTTAGCTGTTGTCAAGTTGCCATGATGAAGCTGCTTTATCCGCCGTTTAAACAGTAACGTTACATGATCAAATCGTGCACTTACTTTGCTTGGAAAATCGTTGCAAGCAACCGAATTGTTTTTTTATATTAGTTTTTCAATTTGATCCGAATAGTGAAAATAATAGGAGCAATGTGGGAACATCTGGGGCTAAGGCAATTATTGGCATACAGTTCGTTCATTTATTTTTCGTTCTTCATTTAAATACTGTTTACTGTATCGGTAACAAGAGTTACACTGTTAGGCCTACTGTTACGGCTATGTTATTAAAAGTAGTGTTGTTATAACAGAAATATGTGTTTTGTATCTTCAGGTTGTAAAACGTATACGGAATTTGGAACCAGATTTGGTCCCCGGGCGCTGCACTGCGGCTGGGTTAAATGCAGAGGACACATTTAGTTTTAATGTATGCGAGTACTGAGACAATAAATAAATATAAATCGTAATAGTATGCTCTTTCTGCGCTTCTGCTTAACAACGTGTTGTCAGGTGTCTCGGATTCGGAGCGTGTTATGAAAAATGTTGGAAACAAAATTATTATTAAAAAAAAAAAAAAAACTCTCCGCACCGAATATTCGAATATTCGCTGCTGATTACTACCGAATATCCAGAGCCCGAAAAATGGTATTCGGGACAGCCCTAGTGGACAGGTGTCTTTTATACTGATAACGAGTTCAAACAGGTGCCATTAATACAGTTAACAAGTGGAGGATCACAACGTTCACACTCAGTGGTCACGAAGTACTCCACTAGCTGCCGCCCTCTGTCGACTTTCCTGAAGTACTCCCCCGTTGATAGAAATCAACACGTAATGAATTAAGACCCCACGGTTTGATGATTGATAGGTGTGTGGGCTGTCTTTCATTTTGACACGCAGACAAATGTTATAATAAACATAGATACTGTATGTTAAATGGATATATCCGCCTTCTTTCATTTATCTTTCCATTCCCACAACAATATACATAAATAAATGGCATATTTTGGACATAGTTCGAATGGTGATTAATCTGATTAATTCATTTTTAAGCTGTGATTAATCTGATTAAAAATGTTTAATCGTTTGACAGCCCTAATATATAGGCCTATATATATATATATATATATATATATAGGCCTATATATGTACACATACATATGCACACCTACATACTCACACATAAACACATAGTCAAAAAGGGAGAGCATTGCAAAACTGGCCCCGGTAATGGTACAAATCTCAACCTGTCGTTCAATGGACAGCTTCCCCCCCCAATCTATGTATATACTCGCATTTTAGACTCTGTTACTAACTGTATATCTGTAGACTTGGTATGTCTTAAATGTCCGGTTAGGATGTATTAGAACGAAATCTAAAATGAAAATTGTAAATAAGCAATCTGTATGTAAAAAACCACCTGTATGTAAATTGTAAATAAGCCATCTGTATGTCTTATATGTCTTATATGACATGATGAATTGGAAATGGGGGACCCTGATGTAAACAAGACGAAAGTCTTTCTCTGGTCTGCATCCCCTTAACAATTGTATGTTTTGAGCTGTACTGAACTGTACCCAATATACAAGCTGTTAATACACTTTTCAATCAATCAATCAAACACCTTCCCTATCCCTGATGATTTATTTATAATCTATTATCTGCAATAATTATAATTATTATTCATTATTCTTGTCATTATCATTATTGATCTGCTTTACCTGTTGATTGATATACATATACACATACACTGACATATATATATATATATATGTCCACATACATATGCACGCCTACATACTCACACATAAACACATAGTCAAACACCTTCCCTATCCCTGTACCTCGAGAAAATAATGGCTCTGTATTTCCTCTTGAACTGGTTAATGTCTGGACATCGCTTTAGCTCCACATTCACACATTAATGACTTGTCATAGCTGATGTGTGGCTCAGTTTACTCTGTGAAAGATGGACAAGTAGCAGGGAGTATGTACATTGTCATTGGTAGATAGGAACTACCATTTTGGGGCTGACTAGACCAACCATGATGCTATGCTACCATGCTATGATTCTGCTGTAGAGGAAGGTAAACAGTAGTTTGGTCCAGTCCGGGCTAGGGGCGGACATCAGATTAATCATAAACATAGTAGTTGTTCTGAAATACAACTTCAACTCACCAGAAATGAAGTGTTCCGAGCAGATGTACACATATTGCACGGTGTCCTTGGGTTTCCACGGCTTGTGAGTGATGGCATCGACGCGAGCGCAAGCTCTCGCCCACTGGGCCCTCCGTCCTGGCTGTTTTTCGTGACTGGGGAACTTGAAGAAAGAAAACTTGGATTTTCCATCACTATCTATCATCGAATGATGATTTCTACAAGTCCCAGCACTACACCACTTCACCATCTTCAAAGTATTGTATCTAACAAGTAAGTAACACGGATAAACCCTCTGCCTTCTTGCACCTCACGTAAAATGGCGGATACCGAAAGTACGGTGTCCTCTTCTTCTTCTTCTTTAGTGTTTATTGGCAAACCAACTTTTAGGTGCATTACCGCCACCAACTGGACTGGAGTGTGAACAAGAGACTATGCAGAAAACAATAAACAAAATAAACAAAACAAAGAACCAAAACTCTAGATTATTTTAAATGTATCAATTTCTCTTAGAAACGTAATAATCCTGTATTATACTTAATGTATGATTGAGACCTGTATTATACTTAATGTATGATTGAGACCTGTATTATACTTAAAGTATGATTGAGACCTGTTATACTTAATGTATGATTGAGACCTGTATTATACTTAATGTATGATTGAGACCTGTATTTATACTTAAAGTATGATTGAGACCTGTTATTATACTTAAATGTATGATTGAGACCTGTATTATACTTAATGTATGATTGAGACCTGTATTATACTTAATGTATGATTGAGACCTGTATTATACTTAATGTATGATTGAGACCTGTATTATACTTAAAGTATGATTGAGACCTGTTTTATACTTAAAGTATGATTGAGACCTGTATTATACTTAATGTATGATTGAGACCTGTATGACCTATTCGCATCCGAGAAATGACATTTTCCTCCCTTCTTTTAAACCCCACCTTCCTTCCATCCCCCACATACCTTTGAATGTTATAAAGATGTCTTCCTGTATCACTAAGGTCCCAATGATCTTGCCATGTTGTTTCTGCATATTTCTGAATGAATGTTTGAACCTCCGCTTTGCTGAGTGGAACTTCTATGTCTATGTTCATACTTCTGAGTGTTTGTTTGGCCAGAATATCCACCTGTTCATTACCTCCACACCAACATGAGCAGGAACCCAGATGAAACGAGTTGCTATGCCTTTGATTTGCATTTTATATCAAATTAGAAATATTTCTTTTATTATGTCCATTCTAGATGAAGATCTGCCTGATCGTATACTCGATAATGCTGAAAAGCTGTCAGATGCAATTACACTATTATCTATTTCTTTCTCCTCTATCCATTTCAATGACAACACCAATGCCAACAACTCTGTGGTGTATACTGACACATGGACTACGGTGTCGCCCTCGGCCCAATACCCGTATGTGTGTGTGAAAGAATCTGCACACTGCCGTCGCATTTTACGTTTCTAAGGTCAGCGGACATGAAACTATTCAGCAAACCTATAAATAATAATCTGAGTTATTGAGTTTTTAGCATAATACTTCAGAATCTTAAAATCCCTTAACGTTTGTATGCAATTGTGCTAAATTCAACACTGGAATCAAGCAACTATTAATATGTTTGCTTGACATTAGTTATTTATATTTTGATATCACTTAATTATGTTTAATACATTTAAATCAAGCTAAGGTACATGTGATGCAGGCCCGGCTCCAGGATGAAATGACTGAGGGGGCTGTTAAAAAATCCGAGGGGGCTATTTCTTTTTCACAACAACGAAAAATATTGGCAATGTAATGAATTGACACACCAAGCTTTTTTCCTTCTCACTGCTCTACAATCTCTTTGCTTCTTTATTTTGATTCCGGATTGACCTCTCTCATTCTGTTATTTTCCTCTGATCTTTAATAATAGATAGTACATTATTAGATGGCTGCACTTTGGTTAACAGACTAACATTGATTTCCTCAATTTATAAATAGACAGGCTCTGTAATTATAGCATAACCTGTTCTCCTCTATCCCTTAACTCGTCTTCCTATACAGATTTACTTACATCTAGTCAGGATTAAAGAAACATTAATCTGGTTGATTTTTTATTTTCAGGATTGAATGTTCAAATCAAGGCCTAAAACCTGGCATTTCATAAGAAAGTGACTAATATATAAACCAAATGTAATATCAAACACTACACCAAATGGACAGACACAGATCAAATATTAAAATAAAGTCCCCTAGTTTGTCTCTAGAGTCTAACTGCCATGAGAAAAACGAATTTAATGTTCCAAAATCCGTCACTAGATGTCGCTCATTGTACCAATACGGTTGATATAATACATAACATATTATTCTAGTAAAAGGGCTCGCTTTGGCAAAAACCTGAGCCATACAGGCAGCCCTAAATAATAACAAGTAACCATCACGTGTGGTGCTATCTGTAGTTGTCTGTCTTATTTTTTGTTGATGTCATATTGTTTTCACAGTGCTGTAAAATGAATTTCCCCCTGGGGAAAATACATCTAATCTAAACTAATTTTATATTCAATCCCACACTTAGCGATTGAGAACATAAATTCGTAACTTACCTTGTTTAAAGCACTTTTGTTGTAATACTATGGATTTAGTTGACACTACTAGCCGAGTTTCTTTACTCCAATATTTCGCGGGCAGGTACATTGAATTAGAAGTAGAAGAAGAAGAAGTAGAGGTAGAAGAAGAAGTTACAAGAACTAAAGAAAGTGAAGACATTTACATTTCTGGGAATATGGTTGGACGAGAGTCACATGGAGTACTCACATTGATAAAGTAGTAGATGAATGTAAAAAGGTTTTAAATGTTATGAGGTGCTTGGCAGGCACTAAGTGGGGGGCTGATAAAGCTGCTTTGAGGAATGTATACACAGCCTTAATTAGATCAGTCATAGAATACGGACTAATATGGTTCAGCTGCATACTCTTCTCTTCACAAAGAGACAGAGTCCAGGCACAAGCACTAAGGATATGCTGTGGGGCAGTCAGATCTACACCAGTGTCGGCACTTCAGGTAGAGGTTGGAGAAATACCGTTAATTGTTAATTACTGGGCAAATCTACAGGGCCATAAAGATACTCACCCTACTAAACAAACTGGAAAAACAAGTTGGGAAAGTAACACAATTAAAAAAGAAAGTGTTTGTGTTTCGGGAATTATGTAAGGAATTCAAAGTTAAAGAATGGAATATTAGTCTGACGGTGTTGTTATCAGCTGTTCCACCATGGTTGCTACCTCAACCTGTAGTAGATTTATCCTTATTGAAACGGTTACATTCAATGAAAAGTCAAATCAATGTGCAGGCTTACGTGAACACTGTTCTACATGAACAATATGGGCACTTTATACACATATTTACTGATGGATCCAAAAATCCAGAAAATGGTCAAACTAGTTGTGCATTTTATGTTCCTGAGTTAAAGGTCAAAGTGGGAAAGCGAACGAGTGATCACATCGCAGTATATACAGTAGAGATGATGGCTATCTCTCTAGCACTTCAGTGGGTAGAGGAAACACAGCCAATGCGAGTGGGCATTTGCTCTGACTCCAGCGCAGCTCTGGAGAGTATAAACAACTTCTCTTCAGAATGCCGTCAGGATATTTTACATGACATTTTACACATCATGTTTAGGTTAGTTCATTTGGGAATTGTTGTTCAATTTGTGTGGGTTCCAGCACATGTGGGTATTAGAAGGAATGAGGTAGTGGATCAACTGGCAAAATGTGGTTTGAAAGCAAAGCAGATTGATATTATGGTACCATCAGTAGAGCAGAAGTCAAATCTGTTACAAAAGTTGTTATCAAGCAACAATGGCAAAAACTATGGGACAGTAACACTAAAGGAAGACATTTATACCAGATACAAAGGGAGGTAGGAACGGGAAGCACTTGGGGGAGTAGTAGAAGAGAAGAGAGCATTAACAGCAGGATAACATTGGGTCACTCTGGATTAAACTCAACACTGCATCTGATTGGAAAACATCCAAATGGCAATTGTGATGGTTGCCAACAACCAGAAACAATACATCATGTATTGTATTCTTGAACTATTTTGTTCACATTATATATGCTTCCGTTAGGTAATATTATAAGGAATCATTCGGTACATTTTCATTGTTATGCGGATGATACTCAACTATATTTATCAATCAAGCCTGATGAAATTAATCATCTAAATAAAATTCAAGACTGCCTTAAGGACTTAAAAACGTGGATGACCTTAAACTTTTTGATGTTAAACACGACCAAAACTGAAGTTATCGTACTTGGCCCGAAGAATCTACGAAACAAATTATCTAAGGATATACTAACTATGGATGGCATTAATTTGGCCTCCAGTGAGACTGTAAGGAATCTTGGTGTTATATTTGATCAGGATTTATCCTTTAACGCCCACATAAAATCAATTTCAAGGACCGCCTACTTCCATCTATGTAACATTGCAAAAATCAGGCATATCTTGCCTCAAAACGATGCAGAGAAACTAGTCCATGCATTTGTTACTTCAAGGCTGGATTATTGTAACTCTTTATTATCAGGGTGTACCAAGACGTCAGTCAAGTCGCTTCAGCTGATTCAAAATGCTGCAGCTCGTGTACTAACCAGAGTTAGTAAAAGGGACCACATTACTCCTGTTCTGGCTGCCTTACACTGGCTCCCTATAGAACACAGGATAGAATTTAAAATTCTTCTTCTCGCCTACAAAGCCCTTAATGGGCAGGTGCCATCTTACCTTAAAGAACTCATTATACCCTACTGTCCTACTAGGGCAGGGGTGGCCAACCAGTCAGAGGTTAAGAGCCACATTTTTTTCTATGTTACTGCAAAGAGCCACATCAAACACACAGTCACTGATACCGCTTGTTTCCGTTTTTTGTTTTCTGGAGACAAGATTTCAACCACGTTACTGATGCGTTTTTGTGGCATTGGGATATATATTTTTTAAATCCTCTGGAGCAGAGAGAGGAGCTGTGGATTATTGTTATTGATTAATGCATCAGTGTTTCTTAGGGTCAAAAACACTAAACTCACAACTTAAAATGAAAGCGTTTAGTTTATTTAATAAAAGAGCACATGTTCAATGTGAAAAGTGACAGTAGTTATAGATTATTTGCAATTTGGTGCTATATATATATTTAAAAATAAAATTATATATATATTTTTTTTTAAAACACCTTGAATATCAGGGGGGGAGGCGGGGCTCCATTGGCGGGGCGCAGCGCCCCTCCAAGACAATGGTAGGGGAAACACTGGATAATGTTTAATCAACGATAGGTTTCCCCCCCCTCAAAGGTGATTGGTTCACT